TCTCGGTAGGACTAGTTTAGAAAACGAACTTTTTTAAATTTCTCTTCCAATCTGGTTATTGTAGGTAATGGCTTCCTGAGGTTTATTTATATGGTCGTATATTTTTAATTACTTATAGATTTTCAACAAAATATGCCAACACATGATGCCGAATGCGATGCGACCAACAGTACGACTAGCCATAATGTACGGTGCTGAATCTTGGCCTCTACAAAAGGTGCAAGAAAATAGAATACACGGCGCGGAAATGTAAATGCTAAGCTAAGGGCGGGCGGCGTTACAAGACCAGACCATGTCAAAACGTCCCTGATGTGGACGGTAGGTAGTTTTAAAGTGAGGCTTATCCCGGAAATGTTGCTAGAGAGCCGACTTAGGTGGTACGGACATGTTATGCGACGACGGACTGACCATAAGACAAGGAAAGTCCTCGACATGTGTAACCAATCCAAAGGCGTGGTAGACCCCGCCTCACATGGATACCCCTGATCAATAAAGATCTGCGAGAGCAACAGTTAAGAAGACAGACGACACAGGATAGACCGTCTTGGACACTCTTCTCCAAACCAGAAGGGCCCCAAATAAATGGGAAAAAGCCCAGGCAAAAAGAAGAAGTTAGGTTGCAACTGATTACACTTTCCTATGGTATGGTTAATGGTACCGTGCAGAAACTTTAAAGTTAAATACTCAGTTTATTTTGTTTTTTAGATATTGTTTAACAAATTGTCTACTACAACAATCGATCGTAATATGAAGTGGTTCGTTGTGAAAGAGTACGTTCAAGGCAGTACCACCACCCTATACATTTCTGCCGCCAAGTAGTAATGTGAGGATTCGTGGTCGTGGACTCTGTGCCGCGCTCGCATCCAACGGGACGTGTCCCTTTTATTGAGGTGGTAGTGCATCACTAAGTTGATTTACAATAAAAGAAGTCATCTGTACTGAATTTCGTCGTTTGATTCCTGGACGTAGTAAGGGGGCACCAGCTAGCCGAGCATTCCACTGTCTGCCTCTACACCCCCTCCTGGTTATAAAATGAATTTTAGTTGAACATTCCTAAAATGTTGTTTAAATAGTTTTGCATTTCTTTTTTTACATTATAAACTTCTTCATAATTTAGTATGACATACATGAAATTCTCGAGATACAACACTTTATATTTTTTAATTTAATCCAAGTGTCGCCATCTACGGTTTTTAATATGTACTAAAATTAATTTATATGAATTGATATCCCGTGATCATGATATTCAATTGTTTTTTTGTGAAATTACTCCACAAGTTTGTAATAGTTATTAATACAAAGATTCCTTAATATGAGCTTGTAGCAGATCTTCGGTTTTTCGGTTTTTAACGACTGTATGGTGTGGGGTTTCTGTACTTTTGAGAACAGACGATTAGTGTAATTGTCTGTCTACATTACTTATAAGATTTATTACTCAATGTATTAGCAATAGCGACGTAATGGATTTTCCATGGATTTTTGGAGTATGTCTTGGGTGGCATTCACAATGCCCTGGAAGTTACATTTGGTTAAACAAGGTTGTCCAATTTAGGGATATACAGCTAGTTTAACCCGAGACCCGGTGATGTTTCTTACCCTTGTGTTAATAATATTAGTAAGAATGAGTTCGTCAGGTCTTTTTTACAAAGGAAACTATTTTTATTTTCGGCTTTGAATCGTGTATATTTGTTTTTCAAACAAATTAACGCTTTGGACCATTTACACGCTCCATACTGGTTGACTCAAATAAAAAATAGTTTAATCTCCAAAGTGTAACAATCGCAAAAACTTTAGAACCCGATTTGAAGGTACTTTGTCGAAAATGCTTGAATTCTTGAAATTGAAAATTTTCAATTGGCGCTTTCTGGTACATAATGATTTCTTAGTGGAAGCACTGTTGGGGCTAAACGACTCCTATTGTATGTAATAAATTTAGTAGCTTTAGAGCTCCTTGGGAAAGAGTCCGTCCAGGGGAGTACTGACACCTTGCCTACTTCTGCCGCCAAACACTAATGTGGGCATTACTTCGTTCCGGTTTTGAAGAGTAAGAGCGGAGTCCGTTTTTCAACCGCGTGGCGGCCGCGCGAAAACTTGCTCCTCGTGTGTCTGGGCGCTAAGGGTGCTGGTGAAATTACAGGCACATATTATACATCAACATATTTCTCAGGGTGACAGGCGCTAGGTCACTGCCCTTCAGATCTTTGCGATTTAAAGCGCTGAGTGGAACTGCGACTCTTATGGACAGGCGTGTAGCTTACCACCAGACACACGACGAAAAAATGTTAAATTTGATCAACTTCTGCTGTTTCGAATTTTTCTTCCGATACAATAAAAATGTTTCTTGCAAGAAACTGTATCGACTAGTATTAAAAAGTTTTTTGTCAATATTATTCATATTTATTGATAATTCACGCTTGTCTATAAAATTGACTATGTCAAATTGGTTTTCACGGCCAACACCTAAGACAGTTATATTATATCTCGTATGGTTTCGAATTTTCCCAGTTAAAAAAAAACACACTGTACATCGAACCATTTTTTTTTTTCAAATACACTACTCACACTTACTTAAAAATGCGATTAACAAAACCTCAATTCAAAGTTGACAAGAAAATCACAGTTCGCGTGCTGACGCCATATTTTTTGACGGACAGTCACCTTTTGCTGGCCTTTGTACGCTGTGCCCTTTATCTAATATTTATATCATAATTTGTTTGTCAGTTTTATAACACGACGCGTACGCGATTGAGGCGTATTGCATTTTTAATGCTGTATTTATTGCAGTTTTAGGGTTTTAGTGATACTTTGATACAAAAACAAATATATGTTGCCAATGTGTCTATTTGAAATTTAAAATTCCAGTCAATTAAAAGAATAATTTAGGTAAAATTTAATTTATACGAGGTGCTGGTGCAATTACAGACATATGAGACTTGTAATTTATTTATTTATGATACCAACTGTCGGGACGAAAAAGTCGTGCGGCTGGTATTATTCGACACGGCTGTCCATAACAGTTGCAGCGCCGCTCAGAGCTTTAAGTCGCAAAGTTCTGAGTGGCACTGCCACAGCGTCCGTCACCCTATATAAGTTGATAAACCCCATGTGCCTGTAATTTAACCACCACTCTTACTTTTTTAAACCGAAACGCGGTAATGCTCATTTTACTGCTTGACGGCACAAATAGGTTAGGTGGCACTCTTTCACAGGGAGCTGTTACTGGATTACTATCTATGAAGATATAAATAATGTAAATATTGTGTTTCAGGTATTGTTTTTTGCACAATAAATTCTTTATCTGCTTTAACTGCCTCTGTGGTCGAATAGTTACCATGCTGGACTCCCACTCAGAGGTCCCGGGTTCGACCTCCATTTATTTCTCGTGAGTATGGGTGTAATTTGTGGTTGTCTACCTATGTATGTGTCCATTACACCCGCGATACAGGGTTTCCATAGTGTGGGGCTATGAGTGTGTGCGTTGTTGCGTTGTTACGTAATGTTTATTTGTTTTGTAAATTTTTTTTCTTAGGAAACTAGTTAACTAGTGTGTGTGACGTTTTCTACTCGCATTGGGCCCACGTGGGAACAACAGCCCAAGCCCTTTCATTGTGAGAGGAGGCTTGTGCAGCAGTGGAACTATATAGGTTAACTATAATTATTATATTATTATTAATGAAACGAAAAAATATAAGGCTATAATGAAAAATCATATCGTGGTAGGAAACTAAGAGTCTATGCACACAGCGTATTTTATACCCGCTGTAGTCGCGCGTTATGTATCGAGTATTTTGATAAGAGATAGTTTTAATTCTAGTTTTGTTTGTAAATTTCAGTTAGTTTTTGAAATGAAGCCACTGCATGAAATTCTAAGTGTTAACTCCAGTGGAGTATATAAGCTTCTTGCTTGTAACGCGTCATCTGAAACACGCAACGTCGGCGCGTGTAAAATACGCCGTGTGAAACGCCTGTAAAAGGTAGTAGGAAAACGAATAGAAATTTGTATATTTTCTTTATTTAAATTTTATTTTCACTTAGGGCATAACTTAAATTAACTTAATGAAGCTAATAAATGCATTTGGAAATGCAAATCTAATCTCCATGGGGCCTTCCTTAAATCTAAAGATGTCGTCTAAAAAGCTTAACTTTAAAGCTTTGTTGACAAGAACTTTTGTTTGCTACTCTGATAAAGCTTGGCTTTATTTTGCAATGATGTCTTTGTATCAACTGACAATACCGTACTCGATCAAAATTTATGTGGTGTGCTGATATAAATTGTTTAGCAGGTTTCAATTTAAATTAAAGAATTATATTGGAGACAAAAATGATCTGGAATAAAAAATGACAGAAAAAATAAAATCATTTCTGTCAAGCTTGAAAGGTTTGGTTAAATTTTTTTTTTCATCCTATATTCCTATATAGGGCTCAATTAATTTTGTTTTCTTTCCTGTAAGGTGTTTTTAAACAAACCAAAGTTCGTAAAGTATTCTTTACAGGTCCTATTATCACGGTTGATTATATAATTTTTGTCCTGATTTGTTTTTTATATCAAACAAATCAGTAATTACAGATATTAATATATTTCGCCTATTTATTATAGTAGCAAACGATCCTAAGGTATTTACCATTTTCCAGACACAAATAATTCTAAACTACTCTAACTTACCTAGCTTAATTAAAAATCTAAATTGTGATAATAACGTATAAATGCAGTTAAAAATGGCCGTTATAATTTTTAAATACCTTTGAGTATTTTAAATAATACAAGTCTATAGAAAAATAAGTAAATTAATACGAAAATACAAAAAAAAATATGGGCAAGTTTTGGGCGCTAGCCATTTGTTTTAAACGTATTTTCTTCAATTAAACTTATTATAAACACAAGTTCAGCGTTCCTTGATATAAAGAAGAAGAAATATTCAGATCAATCTTTCTTTCTGACATATTTAGTTAATGCTGTAAACGCAAATTTCACGAATAAATTCTTGCTCTAAATCTCTTGACACATCGAGGTTTTTTCGTTTTTCTTCTCTTCACTGTATTTAATCGGATCTTAGAACGCTGATTTCTCCAACCTCGCAACCTTTTCACATGTACAGGTCAAAGTCGAATCCATTTCCTCCGCTGAGGTAATCATACAGATATACCGCCATCTCGTCGAGAGCGTCGAAGCGAGGGTCGTTCAGGGTATCGTCCCGGATGGAACGAGCAGCTCTGCCCAGGGATCTGCTGGAAAACGTGAGGACAATAAGAGGAAGTATACAATGACCAAGTCTGTTATTTATCGGTCTTATACTAGCTAGTTGATATTTATTATATACTCGATGGGGTAGTCTTAGTTATATATAATTGTGAATAGGGCCATGGAAAGATGGAATTTTTGTCATTGGATAATTGTTAATAGGTACAGTCAATATCCTCGATACATATAGATATAGATCGGATCCCCAAGCCGACCTTTTGGTTCTGAGAGCCTTCGAGTTGAGAGTTTGAGAAAGTAAGGCATCGATTTATGTAACGTAATTAAAGATCAAATTGGCTTAAAAGTTTCTTAAAACGTCATTCACTAATGATGCAATAAAGAAGTTATACGAAAATGAATTTTATAGCTCACATGTTAAAGTGAACACCTTTTTTCACGTTATCTACTCAGAACCGAATAGACGGTTAGAGGATGAGACATTTCAAGGCATCGACTGTACTATCTTAATATAGTTTTCGTTTGAAATGTCGTCAATCTAATTATAATATAATTGGGAGTACAATTGTTTTACAGGAATTATAAAGCAATTGTTTATTAGTCTAAAACATATACATACACTTAACATTTAGCGGAACACTAGTAAAATCTTTAATATAATGCAGTGTTTTTCCAAACGTCCGGCCGGTTATTTTACTTTTTTATTTTATGTCTAATTTGAAAATAAAAAATTGTAATCTTTTTCACTAATTTATTTTAATTTCCTTGTCAAGTGGATCGAGGTTGATTTTTTGTTGAAAGTTTTATAAACTTTAGTTGAATTTTTTATTTATTTACCAAAGTTTGATTTAATCAACGGTAAATTCTTACTATTTTTAAATTTCTAGTCGTTTCAGCTTTGTCACAAAATCTAAAAAATATGCCTTTTCTAATCTAGATTCTTTTAATCTTCTAATCTTAGAATCTAGATTCTAATCTAGATTTTTATTAAGAAATGTTAAGTAAGACTGTACTAAGTCGATGTTAAAAGATGTTAGTTTAATTTACCTTATGTTTAATTCTATTTTATATTTTCGTGTTTATTTTGTTCAGCAAAATGTGCCGATGTGCGGTTATTATTGCTGTGGTAGTGAAAGAAAATCTGCATCTTTAACAAAAAACTACACGCTTCGAACCCGCATTTGTACAAATGTAATGATCATGACGTTTTCGAGTACCTTTTGTAAATAATTAATAAATAAACATTCTTATACGATCTAATAGTTTGGTAACTCATTATTTATTCCTAACATAAAATTCTAAATAGTTTACGAACGCACCCATATTAGATAATAACGTAGCTCAGCGATGGCGCGAATAATATGAAATCTGCCAATTAATTTTTAAGCCTTTTTTGAGCGTAACTACTTCTTTATAGGATTAAAACGTATATAAATATTATTACATATATATAATATTATTAAACGTATATATAACTTAATAGGTACATACTTACACTTTTTGTTAAAACCGAAAATGTAACTTTTGTTGCCGAAATGTAACATTTCAGATAACGAAACTTAATTTTCGACTCAATGGGCCTGGCGACACTGGTACCTACTGCTATTACAATCTATAACGACGCGTTAATGAATTACAGACCTAAAATCACCATCGGTGTCTAGTTCATCTTCGCTGGTGAACCGTTCGCGGATGTCCTTCATGATGCATGCTTCCAGTTTCTTGTGCTGAAAGAATTATAAGGGATTTTAGAATTAGCAAGTACTAATGGTTAAGATAATAGAGTTCATTATGACGAAGATTACCTTGTAGCAACGGAAGAAGAACATAGGCTTGATCAGCTCTTGGGAAAGTGGTGCCACGTCACGTTTGACATCAGGTACACATTGCTGGTGAGATACAATAAAATGAATGAAAGTATCTAGAACGATTTGATTTACAAATAGATTGACTAAGTCTCGTTATATGGCGAACGGCTATGGAGTGGAATTCTCTGCCTGCAAACTTATTTCCTGACCGCTATAACTTAGGCCTGTTCAAGGTGAGAAGGAATAGGCATCAGGTGTGCATGCTCTGTCGTTGATCTCATAGTCACTTTTTATTAGGTGAGATGGAGATTTTTTTTCACTAAGAGAAATTGTATTTTGAAATAACTAAAATAAACAATAATTCTATTGTCGTAATTAGTCTTAGGCAATTTTACTTCGGTCGATGTATTTTCGGTTTAGTACTTTTTTTCAACCTTGAATGGTAGTTCGATCCAAAACTCGTTCTTACAATTTATTTTTATTTATTCAACAATTAAAATTTATAGTAAGACTACTTGCAAAAACCCTTTAAAGGGTTTATACGAGAACAGAATGCATCGCAAATGAACTCGCCACTTTTGTTATGAGTACGACATACAACCCAAGTAGGAAGTACTTTTTTAAAACTTGTTTGCGTTTCTTAACATTCTTAAACATGTCGCACTGTTTATACAATAGTGGACTAACTCAATAAGTGTATTTATTCAGAATAGATGAAAAACTTCTTACTCACTAATTTATATACTGCTTAAAGTTTATTGCAGACATTTAAACAATTTTCTACTTGCCAAATATATTTAAAATAAAAAAAAAAGTTTCAAATATTTTTATGTAAGGACTGTTTTCAGATGCTCCCAAAACGTTTATCTCATTCTGAGTTAAGTAGATATCTTTAAATTGTTTCTTACAATATTCTAACGACGGTTTTATTGACGTGCAGAGAATCAAATTTTAAGTCCATTAATGATAATAACCTTGAATTTCACATTTCACATTTTGAGTTATAACACTATTGTAATAGCAGTGCGACATCTTTTTGCAACTCTACATATATTTTGTTTAGAATGTCAGGCAGTATGTACTTCGTGGTCCTCATACCGTGTGCATTAGTGATTCTAGGCAGTTGATACGCAGGTAGGTAATCGAATGGGTATGTTTATTTTTGTTAAAAAAATGATATTTTTGAATTGATTCAATATTATTGACATATATGATTCGTAATTAATAGATTAAGACGTTACTTTGCGGAAGTCCATGTTAATGAAAATGGAAGTAAATGAATGTGTTACTCCGCGAACCCAGTTAATGTTAAATCGTGCAAAATAGCTGTGCTTGTGTTGAAAATCCAAAAAACAATTTTATTCAATATTTTTTTTGAATTTTTTTTCATGCAGTTCTTTATCCTACAAGTGAGGGTGGGATAATTAACTGCATGAAAAAACACAAGCGCAGCTATTCTGCACGATTTAACCTTCACTGGGTTCGCGGAGTAGCAAATTCATCTACTTCCATTTATATATCTGATTCGTTAAAGACCGACATCAACTTACTGTGGTTAAAAGGGTCGAGATTGTAATATAACTATACGATGTTCAAGTATTTGTTGATTACAGTGTCGTAATATTAATATAGTAGAAAAATACTAGAATAAGACAGTTTCGGTCGTTTATTTTGCTTCAAACTTTACTTTTTAATTGACTTTAAATATTAAAATTATTGTCCTTCCAGTAAAATAACGCACACACTCAACATAGCCCCGCACTAGGGAAACCCTGTGTCGCGGGTGCCATGGACACACACATAGACAACCACAAATTACACCCAAACTCACGAGAGAAATAAATGTAGGCCATACAAACATTTCTCCCGGCCCGGGAATCGAACCTGGGACCTCTGCGTGGCAGTCCGGCATGGTAACCGTTCGGCCACGGAGGCAGTTAATGAGCAGTTATGATAAAAAAAAATGAGCTTATTATATGACATCTTTTTGTAATACAATATCTTATCGATTAACTTAAATAATGAAAACGCACCTCAATATATGAACTTGCGACCGTCTTAATTAATTTTACTGGATGGTTTTCTGTTGGTAATTGATTAAATTGATGAATGGCAAGGCAAATGAAAATGTTACTGCTGACAAAATGTAATAAAATGTTATTAATTAAAAGAGGTTTACTTAATGATCGCCTCGTGTGAAATTTTTGTTATTTGTTTATTATTTCTCGGATTTCTAACTCTGCTACTATGTAAAGTAAGAAATTATTTTTCTCTTTTATTTTAAAATATATTTGGCAAGTAGGAAATTGTCTGTAATAAACTATAACCTATACACATATACATTTTAATTATCTTTCACGAAAAGCGAGTAATTAGTTTTTCGTCGATTCTGAGAAATAACATTTTTTGAGTTAATACACTATTACATTAACAGTGAGATATGAAAGTCATAAAAATTATACAAACTACTTACGTGAAACAAATTATGTGAAAATCTTATCTTTCACGGATGATGTCCAGAATGCTTACCGAGAATTTCTGACAAAATTGCAACCCGTCCTGAATGTCACCCTTCAGCTCACTAGAGACGGGCAAGTTGCTGATTCTCTGAGTGATTTGTTCGTAGTTCGGCTCAAGGTTGTGGTCGATGTAGCCCAGCTCCTGCATGACGCAGGTGATGTTGCGCACGCGGTTCGCCGCCGGTGCGCCTGGGCCGCGCGAGATCACGTCGAGGCGATCGCGCAGATCTAAGTCGCGCTGGGGACATCAGTAATGAAATGAAAATTTATTTATTATAGTACCGGTACGCTATGATGGCCATTTTGACATTTGTCCGCTAATCAAGTTTCGTCTAAATTATAGATATATCGAAGGAGCTAATTGCTGTACATTGTTGTCAATAGTGACGTGCGGTAAAATTTACGGAATGTATAATTTTACGACCCAGCTCGGCATTTGTTTTTCGAAATTAAAAAAATTAACTCTAATACGATCGTGACTTATAGGATCGCTGTCCAGCACAACTTCTACCTCCGGCAAACTCGCGTCAAAGCTCAATGCAAAACAAAGTAGTTTCGAATTGACGATATATTAAGTAAACATTTTTATTTTCGTTTTATTAAAACTTTTTAATCAACTACCCCTTGCAATAGTAGTTTTTTACATTTAGTAAAAAATTTGATTATATTTTTTTCGATATTGAATTGAGTTTTTACCTCACTATTGTAATCTGTCAAAATGGCCATCATTATGTGCCGACACTGTAGTCCCCATTCTGCGTATAACAAATCCTTTATTTACCTAGTTTAGGTAAGTGGTGGTATCTTAGGAGAAAGTAGATAATGTGCACGATATTTATATTTGTGGAACATTGTATCGAAACGATGTTGGATCGAGTTTATTATAGGACTGTCTGTCTAGGTACTTGATGAGTTTGAGTTATGGTATTTGTCATATTTCACATAATATGTAGAAATATAATAGGAAAACAGATTACAAGGAGATAACAAATGTGATAAGGGCTCTAGATCATGGCATAGAACTAGTAGTTATTTATTATGCAAGGCTGTAAAGTTGTTGCTTGACACGAGTGCTTGTATTGAAACCTGAGCAAGGGAAGGAAGCCAAGATTGAACCAGAAGCGAAGCTAGTGGTTCAAAAATAGATTCCTTAGCGTAGCGAGGGTTTCAAGCCACGAGACGCAAAACATGATCGATGAAGGAAAAACAGTAGAACTATAAAACATCAGCTTTTTTAAAGAAAAGAAAAGTTTGTCTTCGAATGCGTTCTGAATTTACACCTCATCAATTTTTATTCTTGTTTTTTGTACTTTTATTTTTTAAGTGATTATTGAAATTATTTTACTTCTTCGACGAATTACAATAATTTAATAAACGCAATTAGTTATCATTGTCAATTTAATGTAAACAATAATAAGTATAAAATATACCAACTGATTTATATTACATAAATATGTAATGTAAGACACATCTCGTATTTGGACGTGTCGTTATCTTTGTTTTTTATCGAAAGAAAAGTTAGGTGCACAGTTCAATGTCAAGTGCGAATTTCAAAAACGTTTTCCACGCTAGCGTGCAAAAAACGCTTTTGCGCGCAGATTTCTAATGAGAAAGAAAGCCTTTCCGAGCTCGTGAGGTGAAAAAGTAATTACAGTATTTCATGTGAATTAAAGCCGTGGTAGCCTATCGCCACTCAAGCAGAGGCCGTGGGTTCCAAGTGGGCCCGCACCTCTGAGTTTCTAGGAATTTACGTGCGAAACTTCATTTGTAATTTACCATGAGCTTTTCGCCGAAGGAAAACATTATGATGAAACCGTGCAGGTTTGAAGAAGGAAAAACTGTCGGAAAACGAGCGAAGTCCCCAACCCGCATAGGGCCAGCGTGGCGGACCATGGCCTAAACCCTCGTCTGGGAGGAGAGCTGTACCCCGTTGGACGTATAAATGGGTTGATGATGATGTGAACTGCAACTAGTAACTTTGTACTTGTGACATATTCACGCCTTCATCACATAAACTCTCCCTCTATTTTCATTGTAACTTGTGGACACATTGTTAAAGTCATGGATGACACAAATATAACATGAATTACATAAGCTCCTGCGTGTCGTGTGTTCCACCAAAACAAGAAAAATATACCTACATATAATATGATACCTATACAATATTAAACGTACCTATATCTACAACCTCTTCGTATATTAAGTATGGTAGACAAGTAGGTAAATGGGTAAAAACGTAGAAAAAAAATCTTTAAATAAATTGTCACTGTAGTTTTAATTTAAATTGTGCTCCTAGTGAACGTAATACTCTAATTTATTTTGTAGTATTATGGGATGTAGGTACTGTTGTACTTACCCCCATTCTGTTATTTCCGTAGTAAGGCTGTTGATAAATCCCTTGCTGGTACTGCTGGTACTGCTGGTATCCATAAGGATTGTATTGCTGAGGATAGAACATCCCTGGCGCGTTGTAGGGGAACTGATAGAAGGGAGTGGCAGCGCTAAATGGGCGGAATTGCGGATTGGGCATCATGTATGGGGGGATAGATGGTTGAACTTGATGCGGGAAGGACGGCTGAATAAGAAATATTAATGATTGTATTAGAATTATAAAAGAATATATATTTTTTTTGAATAGTGAAATAATATAATGACTGAAATCAATAAAAAGTTATGCTGCGTAAGTTGACTGGTTATTTCATCATTGTACATATCGCCTCTTTAGCTCAGTGGTAGAGCACTGGTCTCGTAAACCAGGGGTCGTGAGTTCAATCCTCACAGGAGGCATTAGATCAAATTGCTGTAAACTTTTTACTTTCTTTTTATATTACATATTTTGTTTATTTTTTATTTACCCCTTGCGGCCTAAATGCTAAAACAGGCGGTTTATGTGGTTGCTGTGGAGAATTCGGCAGTTCATTTTCTTGATTGTGTAGAGCGCCATCTGTTGGTTTTGTGATGGTTTGCGTGCTCGGGTCTATGGAGAAACCGGGTGGCAGCTTGCCGAGCAAGATGGAGGGCAGCGAGTTCGAAGAATCGTCGAAAGGTGGCGGTGGCGGCGGTGCTGAGCATTTTGCATAGGCGTCTTTCATTTCTTTTCGGATTTGTTTTACAACTTCCGGACCAAAGCAACTTTCATAAATCTGAAAATAAAATTATCTTGATTGTTGCTTATTGTCAAGATTATAGAGATTGTAATGTTATCGAAGATATGGAACAATTATTACGATAATCACAAAAATGATCAGGATTTAGATACAATTTTTTGAATTTCTGGCTTGAAACTCAGAACGAAAAATTTAAATGCCGGAAGCGATAAGGCGTGCCCAATCACTTGACAAATTTAAGGAATTGTTAAATAAACATTACTTAACACTTAGTAATTTCAATTTAGTAGAGTAAGTTAAGTATTCACCATTCAAATTAAAATAATGTATACATATATGTGTGTATATATAATACATATCACAAGAATATTTTATATGTTGTATGTGTATATATGTATAGTTATATATTTGGTATGTAGCAATGTGTATGTGTTATAATATATACGTAGTACGTTTTTGTGAAGTTTGTTTAGGAAAGTATTCGGTTCAATTTGTACATCGTTTAGCTGCCTTGTGTAATCGCTGTCTAGCGATAAGGCCACCAATTGTACCTTTAACTACTGTTTATTAATTTCTGTGCAACAAAGCTTATTCTATTCTATTCTAAATATTCATATATCTGAAGATCTGATTGTGTTTGATTTTTTCGCCCATGTGAACAGAAGCAGTCGTGGCCGAGCGGTTAAGGCGTCTGACTAGAAATCAGATTCCCTCTGGGAGCGTAGGTTCGAATCCTACCGACTGCGTGCTTGATGTACATTTTTTTATTTTATTTTAGGGAATATTTTTGTGCTTTTTATTTATCGTAAAGGTGGTCAATGGTAAGTCATTTAAATTTACTCGAATATGCCGAATTCAAGTTACAAGTAATTTCTTTTTTTTTCTTTATGCATTCGTTTATTTGCCTGTTGTTCTTTGTTGTTTTATATAATATTTTTTACTATCCTTACCTTCATCATAGCATACTTCTTGATGAACCTGTCATCGCTGCTGGCGAGCGCCTGCGCTGTCACGCAGAGCAAACAGGTCAATAACACTTGTGTTGATATCATTTTGGACCTGGACAACGAAAAATAGACTCGTTTTAGTACGTGACAGAATTGGTTAATTATAAACTGAAGGTACACAATCTTCATTAGTTTTAGTCTTACACAACACATAATAATAAAATAATAGCGCTAACCGTGCACTGAGTTACTGAAGTTTTCAATAAAGGTACGACTTTTAAAAATATTTTTCTACCAAATACAAAACTTGGATTCTCCAAAATTCTAATGTGACTTTAAATGCACAATGTTTTTGATGTTCAAAACAAGCTCATCCTGTTTAACATTTTCAAATCCGCCATTCGTACGAAAAAGATCATTAACTTCCTTCGCACCGTAATCGTGCATAATAAATTCGTTTGCGCGTACGCAGTTCATTAACACTAGCCGTAACCGTTAACACCTTGGGCTAGCATAGCAGTAAACTAAGCATAAAGGTGGCCACTCATTGACCAGGGACCGGCAGTACGCGTGCGTATGTGTGTATTTCTTTATTAACACGGATAAAATTACCATACCACCGAATCGAATCTGCTGTTAAATAATATTACAGTCTGTTGGTGTCTGTATGTTTACTAGTACTATTTTAGTAGTTAACTGTTGATTAGAAATAGACTTAGCATATACATCTTTATCTATATGCGCCCATTGTTTAAGAGGACGTTGCAATCGTTTTGTGTTGATACGACGCTATTTGGATAGAAATAATTTAAATTTAAATTAAACTACAAAACAACGTTTGGTCTGTGGTAACAACTATAATTGTTTTAATAATGTTCATTTAGTTCCATCTCGCACCACTAGATGGCATTAGTTGTACACTGAAACACGGCACGTTTTGTTCATGTCAATACTATGTATCAGCATCAGTATCTGGCACTGAACGACAATCAAGCTTTTGAGACGTTGCGGTCCTAATACCGTTGACCTGTAAGTAGCAGTAGAGCTCCTTGTGAAAGAGTTCGTCCAGGGAAGTACTGCCACTGGACCCTATTTCTGCCGCCAAGCAGTAATGTGAGCATTATTGCGTTCCGGTTTTGAAGGGTGAAATTACAGGCACATGGGACTAGGGACACAGTATCGAATCAAAAGTGTCGATAATGTACTCATGAGTAGTATCGCAAATTTTCCCTACTTAAATACAGAATAAAACACATGAGTATAAATAATAAAATATGTAATTTTTTATTTCATTTATGATTTTTAATTGAAACACATAATAGAAGACTTTGAATTAAATTGATCAATTCAGTCAATCCTCACTTCACATAATTTGTGTTACTTAAATTTCCCACTCCTCCTCTTTAAAATCACTTAAAAACATAAATCTGTTTGGTAACAGTCTGTTTCTCATTTTTGATATTGCTTTGTCTGCTTTTGAGAACAAACATTCTGAAGAAGGAACAATTGCGAGGTACTCAAATAAATATAAAGTTTGTCAGGTATGTTAATTCAAATCCTTCATTCTTATTCTTATAAAAAGGCTTGACTGCATAGTGTACGCTATGCAGTCAAGTCATTTGTGATGAAGGTTGCCATTTAAAAAAATCCCAAAGTGGCTTGCGTTACGATATGAGGTGTCCTAAGTAAAAATTATTTGAAACGACACGATTCTTGTCAAAAAGTACTAATACCTGAAAAATATCGAGTACACAAGTATCGGTATCGGAAGCAAAAGTACTCGATACCAAAAAATATCGATACTTTTTGGTATCTATACATGGGACTTTTAAACTTATGTCTCAGGATGACGGGCGCAGTGGCAGTGCCTCTCAGATCTTTACGATTTAAAGCTCTGAGTGACACTGTACCTGTTATGGACAGGCGTGTCGCTTACCAACAGGCGCACGACTTGTTCGTCCCGTCACTTAGTATCATAAAAAATCGGCACTATATACTGCGATCTCACGTCTGTGCTATGTAGTGTGTCAGGTCCTTATATAGTACTTGCTTTATCTATGTCTATTTTCGTCATCCTGCCACTCCTCCTCGTCGACCCCGCTACACACCTATTATAGTAACAGCTTTTCCGTGATACCTATTATATATTTAAGGCGATATTTGGGCATTTTCCTGTTTAACACATTCCAAATGTTATACGTTCCACTGTTCACTAGCTGCGTATCTCATGTTTCACTGGCACACGATCGTACTAAGTACGATCGTAGTCCGCATTTTTTTTTTCAAATTGCATGTTACTCATTTGATGTAACCAGATTTGCAAGAGCTACAAGAATAGCGACGCAAACGCGCGTTCGTGAAACGCGCCCTTGCATGGCTACACTTGCGATTTTTAGGCGATTGCATCGATGCAAACGCGCGACTGCATCGATACAAACGCGCGATTGCATCAGTGCAATCGCTTATGAATCACAAATGTAGCGAAGCAATCACGCGTTTGTATCGATGCAGTCGCGCGTTTGCATTCGCTACTAAAAGTCGTCGTGTGTAACCGCTCTAAAAATTGCCTAATGTATTCTAGAGAGACTATAGTCTATTTGTTTAGGTACTTATCTAAATGTAAACAATCTTGATACATCTTTTTATTGAACGTATACTTTACAAATCAATAGGTATAAAAATAGGCATGTAATTTCATATTAAGCTAAATATTTGCATTTTGTATTTGAAGGTAAGTAAAACTAATTTTATAAATGTATATTTCATAAAATAGACATCTCAAGATTGTTTACATTTAATTAAGTACCTAAACAAATGGACTATAGTGTAATTACTTTTTTATTTATTTTATTTTCTAGTATACATTTTTACAATAAACTAAAATGCGGCTATGTGAGAAATGGTCAAATATCTGTTTTAAATAGCAAACGATAGAGCACAAAATTCTTACAAACAAACAGTTACAATTAGTTAACGTGTTCGACTTACCCTACCGATGCATAGCTGAAATATCATTAAACAATATTATCATTAAATAATTTAATATTCTAAAACTGGACTATGGTACATAGCGTTTCATATATTTAAGTCAGCATTGAGTTTCTTTAGGTAATATTTGTGCGTGTCTTTATCACCAATATTTACAAGTTTTTCAAATTAAAATACTCCTCCAGTGGGTTTATTCATTTTTTTCCTGGACTGTTCAAATGCAATTAATGATTTCTAAATAGAGAAGATTTATTTCGAATAAGTGCACAGAGATAGCAATTTTGATAGATACATGACAGAAGTTGCAGTGTGTGACGCTATCCAGTCTGCGTTCACCGTAACCGGGCAAATATTGTGAGAAGTTATCGAGTTGACAATTAATAGAGAGTGTACGTAGTGTACTTGTAATATTTTGTATGGCCTACATTTATTTCTCTCGTGAATTTGTAAATTTGTGGTTGTGTATGTGTGTCCATGGCACCCGCGACACAGGGTTTCCCTAGTGCGGGGCTATATTGAGTGTGTGCGTTACTATTTATTTATTTTACTTATAATAATTATGTTTCAATCTAGATAATAGATGACTTACTCTTTAATGATAACTGCACTTAGACATATTTTTTGTTCATTGAAATTTTTAAATTTCGACATTTTAAATCTTAAATTATCGTAGATTTGAAAAATTAATAAACAATCTAGGTTTTCATTTTGGATATACGTTACCTATTGATAATTGTGTCATTTATCTCAAACAGTAGGTACCTTAAGGATGATATAACTGACATACAGCCTGGGTCCCCAAGGGGCCCAAATCTGTGCTGCAAACTGATTTTTTTTGAGGCACAACCAGTACTTGCTTACAATTCTTAGATGCTCTAAGTTACAAATACAACAATTACGTAATTCTTTAAATGCTACAGTCTATCAACTTTGCAGGGGGCTATTAATAGTGTTGTTACGCCAATCGGGCAACGTTTTATGTTATTAACGGTCTAATTCTTTTCTCTTTCATCAGCGATGGTAGAACCGTTATGCTATATAATTAATAATAATGATTATTATAACCTAAATAAATACCGTTGCATTAAAATCGACGTTATGTTATTATATTGCAGTATAAAATTACTAACATCCGCCATAGGGTCGATTATGCTGTCAATAACCATAAAAACGAATAATTAATTTTTAGTTAAATAAGTCAATAAATGAATAAATGCGCCAGACGATCACATCAACTACCTGGTCCCAAACTAGATGATTCCCTGTACTATGACTACTAGTAAATATATCAACTCTGGTGGTACTATCCAGACTAGGAGAAATTTATAAAAGTTCGTGAATTTGTCTCAGTTTCTTGGGCTTTCTTAAAAAAATCCTTGATGATTCACTGGAGATAACATTTTTCAATTTCCGATTGCACTGTCCATTTTGGTAATACGGGCAGAATCATGGGTTATTTGTATTTCGTGGGAACCTTAACATGCACTTCATGATTTCCTACATATTCTTAAGTCTAGATATCCACGTTAGTGATGTCACAGACCTCTGCCTCTGCTTCCGCAATTGGGGAAATTTCCGGACACTTTTTCACATCTATTTCCGTTTCTGCTAACGCAACTTTTATGACGGAACTTTTATCGGAAATTTATAACATTGCAATGGATCAAGCGCGTAGGTTGTAGGAGTTTTGTGCTGTTTTAAGCGCAATTTTTTTATACTCCTGTTCTATCCCATTGTTGGACAAAGGCCAAAAAATTCAATGAAACCAAAAACCAAGCCCTGTTTGAAATGATTTGAATCCAATTCGTTGAATCTTTATAGTATTTACGCTTCCGTTTCTGTTAATATTTGCTTCTGAGATCTGTTTACGTTTCTGTTTCCGTTATGACACTTCCGTTGCATCATTAATCCGCGTACGTCTGTGGTACTATTTGGTTATAATATAAAGTAGTATCTACACATGGTAAACTGTAATTAATCCATGAGATTCTTAACCGAGATATTGGAGAAAACATATGTACTACACGTAAGTAAGCAGTATTTTATTAGGACAAGGAATATTGATAAGCGACAGGCCTCTTTCCTCGCTAGACAAGACAATCAGGCGTTTTGTACGAAAATTAA